GAATTGCATCAGCAAAAGCGCGCGCGAAAACTGTGTTCGGCCACCTTAAACTAGAGAACTAAATAAGGCGGGTGTGAAACAGGCTGCTGATTTATGGGTCAGGTCTTAAATATGGTATCGAATTTTTGGTCAGGTCATAAATAGGATGGGAAAATTCGTAGAGTTTGGTCTTAAATAGGGTGAGGGTTTTGGGAAGCGGCTGGCACACCCCCATCCGGTTTTTCTTGGAGAAAGAATAATGAGTGATCAAATCAAATTTGATGAACTGTAATCCACTTTCATCTCCTTTCATCCTGTTCTTTTTCCCAAAGAGCCTGTTCTTCTTTGATCTGTAAAACCTTTTCATCTGATTTACCAGCATATTTGGTGTCATTTACACCTGATAATATGGAATTTAGAGAGGAGGGACAATCAGGAAGGAGACCGTCACCTTAAGAGACGTACTTATTTTTGCCGCAAATATCGAAATCACTGTCAGTCAAATTTGCTTGGGTCATAACAAAATTCTATTTGTTTATTTGCCCTCGTTTTAGAGCCCTACATATGAATTTCCCTGTTGTTGCTGCCGTTTCTTTGTAGACTTTACAACTGAGACAGAGTAACATTAGTCCAGCCAGAATGTGAGTTGCATATCATTTCTGCGAGTACGCACAGTCTAGCTGATGTTCTTCTCACTTAATAGTTTGACCTAAAAATAGCCCATTTGCAAATCTGAAGGCACGAGTAGTCATAGAACATGTATTAGACTTCTACTATTACTTAAGAGCTTTCCAAAATTGTAAACTAAACATGGAGAAGAACCAACAATCAAAAGACGCGAAATAGCAACCGCATCTTTAACGATATTCTTAGGGTTCATCCCGTGATGCCTCCCATCCAACGTTAGGAGGAAGGACTGCGAGACGGGATAAATTGACATTGAATGTCCTACGAACTGTATGTACCAAACTCAGTTTGTACCTGTTCTTTCCCGCCTGTGCTGGGAGAAGGTATCTTAGCGCGGTCTGAACCACGTCGATCTCTGTTGTCTGGTATGTAAAAAAATCGAGGACCTTCAGTAGGTCTGTCATCTGTGTTTAAATAAGAAACGCCATTAGAAAGGCATTATGGTTCATTCCCAAGGTGCAATGCTTCTGTTCTCTCTTTGGGAAAAAGCGATGTGTGGTTACCAACGGCGCGGGACTGTGGGGTAGAACGGGTGCTTTTGACGTCCTACCCCTAGCTAGCGCTGTGGTTCGTAGGCGACGAGAATAAAACTTGCAAGATTTAGAATACGTCCAAACATATTTCATTTCCGAGTCTGTAGCGTCATATGACGTAAAATTGTCGTTATTATTTCTGAACAGATGGCATCTTGGATTTGCGGTTATGGATTTTGTCAGGAAACCAACAACTGAATCTGGTTCAAAAATGGTGAAAACCCAGAGACTTTGTGTCAAAACCGACAAAGAAAGTTTAAAATATTTTTTTAGAAGAAGGAAAATTCATTCCATGCCGGTCAAAACAAGGTTGCCATGGAGAAATCGAGATCCTTGACCAATGATATGTCATATTATCAAATTGTTCCCAGATAAATGATAGGCACATTCACCAAATATGGGGCTTATCACTTTAGTGCTTTTAGAATTCCAACCTTCAAGGGCTGTGGCGGCCTCTGAATTCTCTCCTGGTGTGAATATGGTCAAAGAAACCGATAAGAAGTCGTTAGCCAGGAGAGAATTCTAAGTCAAAGACAGCAAGCGTGGAGACCGTGTTGCAAAACTAGAAAACAAAAACAAAAACAAAAACAAAAACGTACGTGAATCGCCGTGGTAATTACTGGGTTTTGTTCGCTTGTTTAGCGTCATGGCCACAGGAGGGGGTAGGTGTGGAGGTCTCTCAGTAGGTGGCAGGCTACGTGGATCATCTAGATCTAAATCTCCTGGCATGGGCTCTTCAGGAGACCTGTCCTCGAGAGTGTACTTTGGAGGAGGCTCTGTAAAGAAAACGAAAGAACGACCATGTAATGAGATACTAAGCTTGAAAACAACAACAACAACAACAACAACAACAGACGGAAAAAGAGATGTTTGCCTTCAGAGAGTAAAGGTGGTTATAAGAGTATAAAGGAGCTCAGTAATGATATTTTGAGTTATTTTTCCCACGTAAAAAATCATCTTTAAATTGAAGGAAATAAAATAGTAGTTTTCTAAGATGAAAAGACACCAAAGAGATAATAATGATAATAATTAATAATAATAATAATGATAATAATAATAATAATAATAATAATAATAATAACAATAAACATAATGGAACAAGGATGATTAGAGATGGAGAAGATTGACACGGATTACAAACGATGAACTTGAAAAATTTAGGCTAAACTTTTCAAGATNAACAACAACAACAACAACAACAACAACAACAGACGGAACAAGAGATGTTTGCCTTCAGAAAGTAAAGGTGGTTATAAGAGTATAAAGGAGCTCAGTAATGGTATTTTGCGTTATTTTGCCCACGTAAAAAATCATCTTTAAATTGAAGGAAATCAAATAGTAGTTTTCTAAGATAAAAAGACACCAAAGAGATAATAATGATAATAATCAATAATAATAATAATAATAATAACAATAAACATAATGGAACAAGGATGATTAGAGATGGAGAAGATTGACACGGATTACAAACGATGAACTTGAAAAATTTAGGCTAAACTTTTCAAGATGCGCAAACTGTGATGAAACTCCTTTAAGCGCAGCAACTTAGGATATATTAGCCTCTTCCAGGCGTTCAGTTAGTTGGGGCGCAGGGCTTTCTCTCGCCGCGCTTCTCTCAATTTTTTCGCTCGCTGTTTTTCGCGCTGCGCCCCAATTAACTGAACGCCTGGAAAAGGCTAAGAATATGTCGGTTTTAGATAATTATCTATTTCTGCTGCACCATCTCATGTTTTATAAAACTCTCACCAGACGTCGTTATCTCCTGGGGGTCTTTGCGAGATTTCTTGGGCTTATTTTTCTTCTGTGGAGTAGCATAAGGCACAGTTGAGTCAAGGGGTTCTTTCACAGGGCTGTTGGTTTTGGAACTCGAAGATGACGCGCCTGACTTGGGGACGGGTTTCCGTTGGTCCGCCGTTGTATAAAGTGGATTGTCAATAGGACTTGAAAGAAATGTATATTTTAGAAATAATACTGTTCGTCGGGTATTGTTCCAGAATATATCCATGCTAGCTCACAGAAGGTTTTTCGCTTAGCTTAAACACCCCTGCCTCTCTGAAAATTCTAATTTAGCCTAATAAATTTCTGTAAATATTTCCGCTTTTGAGACCACCTCCCCGTCAGAAATTTCAGTTACCCTCTTGGGGTGAAGAGGGATATTTTCTGGAACCAAAGTCACAACAAAACAGAGGTAAACGGTCAAATAGCATCATCAGTTTAGTTTCATTCCTGTACTTAAGTTTTACCACCTTTTCATGTGGTGATCAATAGTAATTTTAACCATATTAAGATTTAGGTAACTGGAAACAATTTGATATGACATGTCATTGGTCAACAATTGTCACAAGTTAATTGTTTAGTCGAGTCACCCGGCGTTTCTATGGCTTGCATGTTTCAAAGGGTGTCTCGGCAAATTGGAATTTACGTTTCAGTGACGTTTTGGATTATGTAAAGACTTTTATGTCAAAATGCTAACAGCATTTTTACTTAGTGTGTTGGACAGTGCAACCTGGACAGACATCTATCCTAGCTTTCGCTCACAAAGTTAATAAGGACTACGTTTACACATAAGTGCTTACTTATGCTTTGCTGTTCCAACAATTTCATATGAAGCTCCGAAGGTTTTAAAATCTCTCTGTGGTCCACTTGCAGGGTATGCGGAGTTCACATTTTCTCCAGTACCGGCATGCGCAATAAGGCCATTTTTCGACAAACGGGAGCCTGGGTTGAGTAGCATTTCAGGTTGATCTGAAAGTAGAGACAAGACACTGGAATTATTTGCTAAAAGGTTGGCGAAATGGCACTACACGCTACGTTATCCGTACTATGCGTTCTTTCCTACGCTGAGCAACATTTACATTTCCCAATTTGCAAACAAAAATATTTTACGCAACATATATAGAACAGCAAGGTATGTATGCCGTAGGGAAAGGATTCCAGCAAAGCTACACTGTCAGTTAAACGAAATGTTTTGCTGACGTAATATGTGTCATCCGAGGAAGGAGAAGGTACATTACTCGACTACATTACTCTTAAAACTATCGCTAAATGTGATCCTATACTTGGATCAAGTAACTGAATGAATCAGTTGGCACCAGTATAAAGTAGTTCCCTTAGTCTAAATTTGTAAATCTTCTTGATTCGCTGTTTACTCTGCGACGGACATAAAAACTTCGTTGCGCAGGCGATAAATCGATACAGGACATCAAAAGCTGTACATTCTGACAGTGACAACATAAGTCTACCTTCAGACAAGTATCCGTAGTTGACACAGGGAGCTTGTTTTTCTTTTTTTCTATCAATAGAGTTCAAGGACTGTATGGAGGCAGCTACAATGAATGGATCATCTTCAATAGATTCTCTTCCATACCTAAGCCCCTCTGTGGCAGGGGCCACATCTGGCCCACCCACTACATAGCTTTACAGGAAAAGGATTAAAAAGAAAACAAAGTTAGAAATTCAAAACCAAAAATAATTACAATAAATAACGCAATTAATCGACCAGAGTGAAGGCCACTTGGTTCAATTTAACTGAAGCTAAAACTGCTAATGGGGTTATATAAAATTAATTAGTATAAATCTACTAGCGTTCTGTCACGATTGCTGTTTTCTGATTGGCTACGCTACCCACTATCTATTCTGTTGTAGATAGTAAGTAGTCTAACAATGTGCGCTTGTTAACAAACTGGCCGCGGGCGCTTCTTTGCGTTTTCGAAGTGTCTTTGAGGAGGATTTGAACGACTACTAGATTTATATTGAGACAATTAGATTATTCGCTCTCGATTTCTATGCGTGATAGAAATGTCGAGCTCATAATCTAACTGTTAAATGGAACGCGGGCTTTTGGAAAGAGAGTAAGAGTTGGTTGAGTCGTTACTGAGATCATCCCAAGTTTTTCGAACATTCTCCAAACTCCCACTAATCGAGTGCATTCTTAACTCGAGTTATACTAAAAGCATAAGTGCTTCGTTATGGCACAAAAAGACATAACACTGAGTAGATACAAACCCTTTGTGCTCAAATATAATGCGGAATGCGCAAAATTTTAAATAAGAATACTGTTTGGAAACACCATTTATACCTTGAGGTGGGATGCTTGTTAGCTTTGTCAGCTGAAAAGGAAAAGTAACGAGAAACGAGAATTAACCACAGCGTCTATTTTTATAACAGAGTGCCCCTAACCAATCAGAGTGTGACTTTTACAATAAACACTTTCAAGCCAATCAAGTTTATAAAGGGGTTATCCAAGCACTATCGTAAAATAGGCTGCATAAAATACTGGCTGAATAAGAAGCTGTAGGAGTTTTCTTACCTCCATTAGCCTTCTTACGACGAAGCTTCAGGCAACAAAGGCAGAGAACAAGAATGGCAAGGACAAACACACCAGCAACGCCGGCAATAACAGCAATCAGCCACTTTGGAAACAGTTTGCCGCCATCTTCTTTCTCTCCTGGTATGGTATCAGCTGGTACTGAAAAAAAAAATGACCAGCTCAACGCGTTATTACATTTCAAACGGAGCTGGAAAGATGCAACACGAAATTCCTCTATGTATACCATGCAATCAATTTGACCTGCTTTTACACGGAGTTTGTAAGGAACCCAGTTCACCCGCCCATGTGAGTGCGTTGATAATGAGCTAGAAATTACTTAATTGATGTTGTGAGCTGACTGCTTTGTTTTCATTTTAAAGATTTAATTAAGAGATTTAAAGGTTTATCAGCAACTTAACATTAAAGGTCAACCAAGATAAAGGGTCGAAGTCCATAAAATAACCCCGAAGCATGCAGCCGTCTTCTGTAGTAGTTCATTGAGATGGTTGCCAGCGTTTTACAACCATTATACGAACACTACGGGATGTCATTGGTCTGTTACTGACGTCATGGGTCGAACCTGAGATGGCTTCCATCTGAAAATAAGCCTTCTGGTATGATTATTGACTGTGAAAAGAATCCGACATGCCTTGAAGTCAGCGTACACACNAACAAATACAGACGACCATGCCATCAAAGATAATCTTCAAAGAACCATACAATAATTCAAATGTCCCTTAACTTTTTCAAGTGTTTAGCTGCACAAATTTTACATTTTACTTTAGAGCACCGAGTACATAGCTGTTCGAACATTGAATACAGCATGAGTTCATCTGGAGGAATCATCCGGGTCAGAATTCAGTGGACATCTTAAATTTTGCCCTATCGAAAATTTTCCAAGGATTACTCAAGATTAGAAAATATGGTCTTGTAATGTCTGGGTGTAAACTTTACATTATGACCATTATTGAACTTACTTTGAACGTTCAAAGTGACTTTTCTTGAATCACTGCCAAGGTAATTCCTTGCCGTACAAGTGTATGTACCATCATCATGTTTTTTTGTATTAAATATTTTAAACTGTTCACCATATGCAAGAATTTCGCTACTGCCCGTCTTACTCCAGGTGATGGTAGCTTGTGGCTCACTGTCTGCGCGGCATACCATTGATACATTGTTTGTTTCATTGACGGTGTACACTTTGTGTGGAACGTTAGCAACCTGGGGCGAATCTGTAAGATGTAACGGATACTTGATATATTACCAAACACGTGCATTTTATCACAAGAAAGTTGATTTGAAACAGAACATGATTAAACACGTACAATAAGCAATTATTAGTCAATAGACAGGCTTGGCCCAATACGTAGAGATTCGTCATGTGACAAAAAATATAAATTATTTCGGTAATGCATTTCTAGCAAATCATAATTTTAAACTCATCATCATCATCGACATCATCATCATCATCACTATTATCGTCACCATCATCATCATTTTCGTTTGTCATATGCAGTAAAGAATACACATTTACAATTGCATATACACAAAGAAAGCCCCATATCTTTGTAATGACTTACCTTGATTTTTTTTTCAAAGTCTTACTATAGTTAGGAAATGACAGATAGCATTCTATGCTAAGGGTATCAAAACATAACTTCAACTAGGACTCGAAGAAGGTTGAGTTTCTTGTTTACTGTTCAGTAGTACAGGTGCTGTTTTGATAACTTACACTTCACCAGCAGATATGCTCGAGCTGGAGGTCCGTCTCCTAACCCGTTTGATCCAATGCAGGAATACCATCCCGTATCTGATCGATTGACTTGAAAGCTCAACGTTGTACTTGGACACTGTTTACAACTTTCCCCTGAAATGTCCTTTCCGTTAAACTGCCACTTATGTTTTTCCGTGGGTGGATTCCCAATTGTTTTACAAGTGAACCTTGCTGTCTTTCCTTCTTCTAGGGTGAGATTTTTGGGATGATCGGTTGGAGACTGAACAACTGGCCGATCTGAAGGGAGAAAAAAAAAAGAAGTAACAAATGCTTACAGTAAAACAAAACGTGAAAATGAAACGAGATGGTTAAAATAGGTTTTATTACTTCTAAGTTTTTGCACGTTGTTGCAGTATATACCGTCAAAAATTGAAAGCCACTTTAAAGCTATAAAAATGACAGACAGAAAACCAGAAAGTCGTGTCTGCAAGACCAGCTAATGAAGCGAGCCGGTCTTCAAGAAAACACGGAAAACAAGACGTTGAGGCATAAAATTTGGGCAAAATGAGCAATGGGAAACGGGATTTAAGCTTTTATCAGCATTCGTGTTCACGAGTTCACGGAGATAAACGCTTGCTCGACACGAAAAGAAAAGACCAACTGCACGCAGTCTAGCTTTAAATAAAGATTTGTATATGAAAGTGGTAGCCGAACTTAAGCGTTTGAATATTAAAAAGGAGCACATACAGGTGTGTTTTCGAATGTGGGGTTTGACATGTTTACAAGAACCACTCTCTATGGAGCCCGCTTTTAAACTAAACATACATTTCACTTCTTAAGCTTAGATTAAGCTTCNAAACTTAATTCTATATTTTGCATAGCAAATGTTTTATATAGCAAAGTCATAAGTGTTCCGCAGCGTCTCGTCCATAAACGTTTGCTATTATTTTTTTAAGGCGATAAGGGTCTTGTCATTAATTAATTTAACTTTAAACCACGGCATCTTTCATCTGAACGTTTGTTTTATGTACACATAATATTTTAGTATTTCAAACTTGCGTATTGTGGTATAACTATGTAGATGCTAAATCTTCCCTTTTCGTACATGACAATAGTCGGTTCTCGTCTTTGCATTATTTTGTTTCAGCTGTTATTGCTTCCTTAAAGTGTCGACGAGTGCAGGCAAATGGTTCTTATTCTTACCTAGCACCGTGATTTTTAATGTTTTTGTTGCTCCAGTTCCTACAGTATTGTTGGGCGTACAGCTGTATGTATAATCCTCTTCACTGAGCTGAATATTGGTGATCACAAATCTCCCACCAGTGCTATTTACCATTTGATTCCCCCGTTTGATGATGTATTCCGGAGGAGGGTAACCATCTGCTATGCACGTAATATTTACTGTTGCTCCTTGTTTTACGGTATTTGCAGGAGTTCCAGTTGAGAATGTTTTAACAGCAGGTTGATCTGACAAAATAAAAGTCAAATTGAATGAGTTAGGACCAGGTTCGATACAGAATTTTGCTTCTTTCAGCATTTCCTTGATGAAGAGAATAACTGCGAATAGCGGTGCAATGTCCATACGTGAACTGCTCCAATTCATTGGGAGTCAGAAGGTCTCGTTTAAACGACGGTTTATGATGAATACTACTAATTCCCCCTTTATCCATCTATATATTTAGTTTTTGTGTGATTACTTGTTTTTGTATGACTGATCGTGACGGACAGACTGACAGTTTGACTGACTGACTGACTGACTGACTGACTGACTGACTGACTGACGATTGCTATCTGAAATTTCAAAATTTAACCCAATATCTCTTGCTCAGTGTTAATTTGATTGCTTCTAGTCACACGAGATTGCCTAAAACCAGATGTAGCACCTTTCATCATTGTATACGCATTGACGGGAGACAAGCAATTTGATTTGAGCTTGTGCAATATAAGCTATTAGTATAAATCTACTAGCGTTCTATCACGAATGCCGTTCTCTGATTGGCTACGCTACTCACTATCTATTCTGTGATAGATAGCGAGTAACGTAGCAGTGTGCGCTTGTAAACAAAATGACGGCCGCTTCTTGGTGTTTTCCAAGTGTCTGTGGAGAGCATTTAGATAAAGCTTTAACGACTAGTAGATTACTAAAACAATTAGATTATGAGCTCGAGATTTCTATGCGTGATAGTTGACTCGGGTTGCGCCCTCGTCAACTATCACGCGACAGAAATCTAGAGCTCATAATCTAATTGTTTAATATACCGTATTTTATCACAGATCTAGAATGATCATTCATGCACTCACATTCCACATTAACCACTCTCGTTGTTTCCTTGCTGCCATAGAAGTTTTCTGCCTTGCACGTGTAACTCCCAGCATCTTTTACTTGGGCGTTTGTTATGAACAGCGTATTCTGTACAGCTTTATCCAGAATTGTTCCATCAAATTTCCACAAGTATCGAGGTTTTGGGAGAGCATCAGCCTCGCACTTCAGTGTTATGTCCCGGTTAATTCTCACGACTGCTGGGTGTGGAGTCAAAATTACTTGTTGGGGAGCATCTGCAAAGAAACCAAGATCTTTACTTTGCCCACAAGTAACAGCTGGTGTCTAGCTTTGTACAACATACCTGAATATTCTAAAAACCAACTTTGCAGAGATTCACTGCATAAAACTGAAGAGACTGTCATGAAACAATCTTGAAACTCTGAGCGCCTGACAGAGATTCCGTCCAGTGGAATATGTACGGCTTGTTTTACCGCCTGAGACAAGCAGGTCTTATCATAGCAATCAGACTAACACCAGTTTTTTGAAGTTTTAAGTTAGGGTTTTGACCACAAGAAAGAACTAATAAATTGTTTTCAATGATAAAATATATAAAAAGCAGCCAACGAGTCATGCAAGTGAAGAATCCCACAGGATTACAGATGATACACGGCAGAAATAAGCGCCTGTAGGTCCTATATAGACGAACAGGTTCCACCAATGAAAATTGGGTAGAGCAAGAGTAAAACAACATTAAAAATACAGTAAAAACTAACTTCTAATGAAAAACATGTTGTTCATGGAAAATATGACGTAGGAATGCAATACCACTTATTAATGGATGGTAATAGGACTGAATGGAGTCCAATTCGGTCTGTAATCATACAAGTGATTAACAAAATCGGAAGACCGCGAAGCGGGAGTCCGATCTGTTAATCACGAGTATTATTACAGACTGAATTGGACGACACGATGTCCTGTTACCAATTAATCAAAACTATGACAAAATTCGAGAAACGAACAAACCATCGATTGAACGCTGAACGATTGAACGTCGTTATGAATGCTGAAAAACACAGCAGTTTACTCAACAAAGTGCACCGCAACAGCGCGCGCAAAATGACTCGTACTGTCCAATTACAAGCATGACGCGTACACTGTCCAATTAATGCTCAAATCGGGCTGCTGATAGCCAATGACGTTCGAGAATTTTGCTATAGTTTTGATTAAAAAACATATACATCAAAGACAGCAAAACAAGACATTATAACTAGCAGAAGTCATAACTTACAGTGCACAGTTAGAAAAACAGTTTTTTTAAGCCCATTTCCAACATCGTTTCTTCCATAACACGAGTATCGGCCAGCGCTGCTCTTTTTAACTTGCTTGACTGTCAGTCTGCTTTCTCCATTTCTAAAATTGTCAATGGCGTAATCTTGGGAATTGAAAATCTGGTTGTAACCTTTAAACCAGCTATATTGTGTCTTAACAGGGAAAGCTTCTGTCCGACAATAAAATGTTGCATCTCGTCCTAAAACTACGGTTTCGTTGCGTACCAAACTGTTTGCTTTGTGTTGGGGCCTGTCTGTAGGAACAAAAAAATAAGGTACATAAGATATAAGAAGATCAAAGTGGCCCATTAAACCTAAGGACGATTAGATGAGCTTGAACAAAAACCCATATGCAGTCACATTTAAACAGAAATCACCAAAAGAGAAAAAAAAAGCTCTCTAGAATGTTGCGAGAATCTTGACGGTTTTACTGGTGTTTGGTACCATCAACAGATGACTGTAGATAAAAGAAAATAAACAATATCGATCCTATATCACAATATACCTAGTATATGTGGGTATAGATATTGGATCATGTGTTTTAAAGACACCCGCGACGTCGATCGAGTGTCGACCGAGTATCAATCGGAATGTCGATTGAGTGTCGATCGCTAGTCGATCGAGGGCATTGATCGGTAATCGACCGCGGATGATTAAGTACACATGATCCGATATATTAGATATTCACCAAACACCGGTCTACATAATCACGACCAGCGGAACAACAAACAAATAATCCTGTACTGACTAAAACACAAAGACTCTCAATTTTACTTACATCTCACTATTACAGCAACTGTGTAGTCTGTTCTGTATGGGCCCAGTCCAGGAGCAGTAACTGCAGCTTCACATTTGTACGTCCCTGTATGGTTCTTGTTCGCTGACGCTATTGTGAAGTTAGAGATGTTTGGATCTTCCTGAACCTTTACATTGTCTCTATACCATGTGATCAACGGATTAGGATTCCCACTGGCGACACATAACAAACGTCTTGTATCTCCTTCGGTTAAAGTGACTGGTCCTGTTGTTTTGCTGGTGATCTTTGGTTTGACTATTAAGAAATAAACCAATTACACATTGAAATCTTAGTTTATCGACTCAGGCCTTCTAAGGCGTTGAAATGATTTGTATTGAATGTGTGAGGGATATGTCACTTTTGAGTGTTTCCCTGTCGCACGAAATGAACATTTGTAGGACAGGGCAGTCCATTTGCAGAAATTTCAAGCCATGTGAAACAATTACCCATATTAACCTAATTATGCGCTTAGTACACTTTTACAGTGCATGATTTTCGAAAATGCGTGCCACCTCTTTAACCAAATGGAGGTAAACCAGATCTAATTATGACCTGAGCCCGTTTCTGGAAGGTCCAGAAAAGTTTTCCCACCCGGAAAGCCATAGCAAAATCTCGACCCTTATGATTGCGGAGCAGTTTTATTTACATATGTTTAATATGAACAGAGGTTCCCTTCATATAAGAGGTTTCAGGCGTATATACTTCTCTGTGTTTAGATACAGATTGATTGAAAATCGCTTTGCGGGCGCGAAAAGCTTCAGGGGCTTTCAAGAAACGGGCCTGGTGTAACGTTCACCCGCGCTTAGAGTTGTATACGTTTATTTGCTTCGAGATTCTCATTAGTTCATATTCTTGTTTACGTGTACTTTGAGTAGACTGTTGTAGTCGCTTTCAGTTTGGTTTTAAGACACTGTCGTGGAAAATCGCACTTAATACATCTTCGACTGTTATCCCAAAAAATATGACTTTTTTTGCTCAAGTTATCTATGGCATACAACTTACCAACCACAATGAGCTCAACAGAGTTTCTTATCCATGGATTATTTACGGATGTGAAATGAACTACAAATTCAAATGTCCTTTCGTCATTCTTGGTAATGAACCATATTGTGAATGTCGCGTTCCCCGACGTTTTCCCCGTAAAGGAGAATCTTCCTTTGTAACCGCTGGCTTGTGAAACTTGGAGTTGCTGGTTGGCAAATTTCCTGGCAATTAGCACATCATCACCATTACTTCTCTTGTACATAAAATCCACCCAGTTCACTGTTTCGCCATCTATGTTGTAGGCCCACGACAGTTCAGTGTAATAGGCCCCTTCATCCACATAGACTTTATTACTACTGCTGGGTGTCTTGGTAAAACTTGGTTTACAGTCTGCCAACAAAACAAGGAAACACGACGTGCAGAGCAATGACTGGAGAAACATTTGGGACTATATCACAAAAAATTCGCTATTGATACACTATGGCGCTATCGTATCTTCTTCCGACTATGTTTACAAGAAGCGCCTAAGTTTTTTTTCTATTAGTTTTATTATTATTTCACAGTAGATACCCTGCTATAGTCAACAAAAACATTGAAATGTAACAATACCTGAACCCGCCTTTGCATTGTCCGATTCAAAACTACTTTATGACCATAATGTACGTTATATATAAGGACCTATAAACAGAATTTTTGCTTCAAAAGATATTTTTTTAAATTCAACCTGAAGCCTTGATTTCTGTTTAGAAATAGACGGATTTCGCAACAAACATTTAGCAAAAACCTGTTAAAAGGTCTTCAGGGTAACACTGTGTTTCCTACCGTTTCAGCTGAGTAAAGTTTAGTTTCATCTAAATGACGAACAAAAGGACAACGTCGAGAAGGTTCCTCTAGTGAGACTCTTGTTACTCGAGGCGGTATGTGTCACAGTGATCTTGGTATCCCCGTGTTTTGGGTACCCCCGTACCCATATCCCTAGTGTTTTGGGTACCCAAAACACTGAAAGCGTTATATACCACAAACTGGGGCAAGTGAAACCATCCATAATTCTGCTGAAACACCATTTATCTTCTTAC